TCAAATTAACTCACGTATTTGAAAGAAAAAATCTGATTTAATCTATAAGGTTATCTCTTATTTTCTTTCCCTTCCTTTTGAAATATAACTTTAAAATTAGAAACTAAGAAAGTAGAAAAGTCAAACGTTATAGTTGATTTTGCATTAACAAGAGGACTTTATATGATTCCCTGAAGAAGATGCACCAGTATGGAGGATAGGGTAAGGGAAAAAGTGTCATCCAGTCATTTTATAATTTCTTCCTAGTAATGGTTTTGTTTAATTTATTCTTTATGAAAACATTATCCACACTCTGATTATATTCTTTAAAAAAATATTAACCGTATTTTGCTATTATTAAACCATGTCCCAGAAAATAAACCAAATCAAATGACAAAAATATTAATTACCATTTTATTTTCTGTCTAAACAATAGAGGTTCATTAGTTTCCAGGACCTTATCCCATCTTCAAATTTATTTTGACAATGCCGGGATATAGTTAATGGCTTACCAAGATTTATCACAATAGCCTGACTCCATTATTACCTGAAACAGGATCTCATACTTTAATGGCGGCATTGTCGTCTGCTATCAGATATTTAACCTTTAAAAGCATTATTGTCAGCAGCCATCCTGACTTTAATCCGTTTGTGTTTGTACATTTGTTATTATTTGTCATGTTCTTCCATTTTCTTTGGCATATAACTAATCACCCAGAAGGAATTAAGAGAAAACAAACTATTTCAATGTCCCAGTAAACATTTTGAAATAGAAAAGAAAATAAGAAGACGAAAAGTCGGCATTATTCACTCCGTATTTTTCAAAATGCTTATCCGTTTTTACCTTAATACTGACTATTGTAAGAATAACTTAAAATTTTATGCAAATGATGATTTTCAATGGAATTTTAGTATTAAAGGACTGTTGTGAATGTTTTATATAATATGAAACACGTTAATACTGGTAAAAGCACATTGTACGCAAATTCTGTACTGAATTGTCTTCATTGTAATATGTTAAATTTCTTACTTTTAACATTTTTAAACCCTCAAATTACATATTGAAATTCAAACGATGTGCATAAGCAATCAAAACCTTCATATTTCCATGGTTTCAATATGTCTACATGTTATATAATTTGCCGTTGGCTGAGAATTACATCGCATGAAAACCTCTCACTATTTTGAAGCACGTGTTACGAGCTTTTGTGCTTTTTGCAGTATTTTCTTCGTCACATGCATTCGTATCGCTAGGTATTTACTAAATCTTATTTATTTCTCAACGATTTGCCATAGTCAATGAAATTGGTATTTGCAATGCAGCAGATTTATAAAAGTTATGTTTGGTTTTGAAGGGGTATAAAACACATGAATTTGAAAAAAGAACTATGATGACCCTCTGGTATATCAGTCTGCAACCAAGGGCAATAGATTCATTTAAATTGAGTTGACAGTTCTAGATATTTCAGTTATAATGGTGTATAATCACACTGTGACAACTCTTTATTTTAAGCATTTGCGTCTTTTTGTTTTTTTGTTTTTTTAATAATTTTACTTCACTTTTTGCTACTATTTTTGATTTTTAAACTAAATCCCTTGCCATCACGGGTTTGCTGATGCCAGAATAAACGAGGCTGACCAACATATAGACTCGACATGTTCATCTGCTGGTGTTAATTTAAAAAGGACTTCATTATCCTTGGTATTCTGGTATGTGATTTCCAACATGCATTTAATTGGATACGTCGGCGTTCAAATAATAAAATACAGGAAAGATGAAACATTTCTACATTTTGATGAGGCAAAAAGCACAAATTTCATTTTTGTTAAATTATTTCATGTATAGTGAACGTGGTTTGAAGAAAACCAGACACTGATAATCGTACCTTTTGAAATTGGAATAATTAGAAGAAGATGTTCCAAACGACATGCACGCGTATGTATTAGACAATCTCCCGCCATTTGTTGACACTTCACTTCATCAGACATTAATCACTTTCATTAAAATTGTAACTTGTGCAAATGTACTGTAGTTAAATTCTGCTTTATGGTTTCCTTTATTGTTGCCACGGTCTGAAAAAAAACGACTTTTGTTTTAGAGCTTTTTATGTTTTTTACAAAACCATTTATACAATTTTTTTTGGGTAAATAAAATATAAATATAAGTATAATATAAATTTTTCACAAAATAGACACACGGTACACTGAAAAGCAAATGTTACTAACGAAGGCAGATCAAATATATTATTTAAAAATCTGACGGATATAAAGTTTTTGACGAAAAGTTCCTTAGCTGAAGCTGCTATTTTCTGGCAAATTCATTCGCTTTGATGAATCAGATCTATCTGATCTTAAGAAATATACAGTTATGAAAAAAATTTAAGGTTTACCATCATAAATTTTAATCCTCCTCTTTTTCTTGCTTTCCAATAGATTAAGCTTACTACTAACAGATCCTTTTCTGACTGCGGTCTCTTTAGACGTTCTCTTTAGTCAGATCCTTGACTAAAATTGCTTTACCTGCGCCTGTCCGGTCGAGTGTATGTATTTTTCTCACTATAAATATATCTCTGTGCTTTGTTTTCCAAGAAACGGTCTAATCTTGTAAAAAATAATGTTACTATTTGTAATCCGATAAATTCACTTAAAATTATAAGGTCATTTCGTTTTTTTTCTATTACTATGTACGGCAAGCCATTCTCGTCAAAACTATGTTTAAATCATTTTTTCGAAAATTTTACAAATAAATGGGGAATGTGTCCATGGGACTCAGATGATGCCCCCGCTTGCATATAACGTTATAAAAAGGCATAACTCAAGAACGGTAAACGTGACACTACCCAAATTCTTACTTGATCTGAGTTTTGTTGTAATAAGCATTGTGTATAAGTTTCATAAAATTTGATTGAGGCAAACTTAAGTTAGAGAACGGAAACTAAGAATTCAGATATTTCTTCCATTTGTAAAGGGGCATAACTCTAGAACGGTAAAGGTGATGCTACCAAAATTCAAACTTGATCTATGTGTTGTGGTAATAAGCATTGTGTATAAGATTCATAACATTCGGTTGAGGCAAACTAAAGTAAGGGAACGGAAACTAAAAATTCAGCAATTTTTCTATTTTTAAAGGAACATAACTCTAGAACGGTAAAAGTGACGCCACCCAAATTCAAACTTGATCTGTGTTTGGTGGTAATAAGCATTGTGTATAAGATTCATAACATTTGGTTGAGGCAAACTAAAGTAAGAGAACGGAAACTAAAAATTCAGCAATTTTTCTATTTTTAAAGGAACATAACTCTAGAACGGTAAAAGTGACGCCACCAAAATTCAAACTTGATCTGTGTTTGGTGGTAATAAGCATTGTGTATAAGTTTCATAACATTTGGTAAAGGCAAACAAACTTAAGTTAGAGAACGGAAGCCAAAAATTCAGCAAGACTTCCATTTGTAAAGGGGCATAACTCTTGAACCTTGATCTGTGTTTTGTGGTAATAAGCATTGTGTATAAGTTTCATAACATTTGGTTGCGGCAAACTCAAGTTAGAGAACGGAAACCAATTTCGGGACGTACGGACGGACGTACAGACGGACAAGGGTAAAACTTAATGCCCCCTCCGCTACGACGGGGGCATAAGAACGCACTGAGATTAAAGATCCGTTATAAACACACACTGAAAATTGAAAATTACGCACTGAGATTAGGAAAAATAAAAAAAAAACACACACACTGAGATTTTAAAAATACACACTGAGATTAAAAATAAACCGAAAAACACACACTGAAAATTGAATTTACACACTGAGAATTCAAAATTACACAATGAGATTTCAAAAATACACACAGAGATTTTAAAAATTCACACTGAGATTTAAATGCACATTACTAATTCAATATTCATGACATGAATAATTCAACAGATTAATATCTTGGTCACCTGATCTCTTGTCACATAAAAATATAAATCGGAACACCTCGCGTGACTTTCGTACATCACCTTGGTGTTTCGATTGATATATTGGAACGCTCACGTTTTTCTGATTATGTCGATCAACGATACAGAAGATTTTGGGGAATTCTTCAGTGGCGGATTCAGATGGGGCGTAGAGGGCGTAACCCCCTCTTTAATTGGAAAATGTATGATTTTTTTAGCATAAAATCTTCCCGAAATGTTTTTTTCTTCTCTCGCTCCGCTCGGCAATATTAGTTTCACATCTTCGGCAATTGCATCCCCTTTCGAAAATCGCCCTGTTCTTTACATCTTCATTGAATGTTTAAATGAAAATACTAAATAAGAACTTTAATAAAATTGAGAATGGAAATGGGGAATGCGTCAAAGAGACAACAACCCGACCATAGAGCAGACAACAGCCGAAGGCCACCAATGGGTCTTCAATGCATCGAGAAACTCCCGCACCCGGAGGCGTCCTTCAGCTGGCCCCTAAACAAATATGTATACTAGTTCAGTGATAATGGACGTCATACTAAACATTTTCAGTGTGTGTTTTTAAGTTTGTAAATTTCAGTGTGTGTTTTTTTAATATCAGTGTGTATATTTTTCGAAAAATTACTTAAACATAGTTTTGACGAGAACGGCTTGCCATACCTATGTACTTTGCTTGTTGTGATAAGTTTGCCGTTATAAGGCTTTATACAATCAAAACCTAAAAATGTGATTAAAACTCTGTTAAAAACATACCGATATCTACAAATTGGATGCAAAGTGCTGTGCTGAGCAAGATACGAATACGATACGAAATCTTTATTTACATTCGGTATGGTTGCAAACTACAAAACATAAGCTCTATAGAGCTTTTAACCGAATACTAGTACAAACATACATATACAACAATATAAAAAGCATAATCATGCAAGCAATCTAAAAATAGAGAAGCAAATAGAAAAACAAGCACAACACAAGCATGGCAAAGCAATTAATACAATACAATGATCGAACGTCATACAATGAAAAATGACGTTGATTGTGGTTGCTTGGGCACTATATATTCTGCAAACATTTGTATTAAGACGTTGTGTTTGTAGCTGTCATGAGTTTTCAAATCGCATATTGTGGAAGTGATCGTTTCGAAATTGACGAGCAGAGAGAATACGATGAAAATAAGGACAAAAATATTCAGACTAGATTACAAAACAATTCAAAGGACGCAGAAATCAGTGAAGACGCAAAGAGTTTTGCCACTGGGGTTACATCGAAATGGCTAAACTTTTCATTTCAGCTACATGATTTCGTGAATACTAACTACAATCGTTATATAGAAGATTTTACTCATGATGAAGTTGAAAATAAAATTAAGTGTAGAAGAAATTGCGCTTTCGTTGTAAAACAAGTTGCAAATGAAAATAAATCTTCCTTATTACTGATTGATTCTGGACACACAAAAACGGATTCCAAGAAGACGGAAACAGACACTGTCGCTATGAATGAAAGACGGACAGAAACCGATGATGCATTAATCAATCCTCCTGTGAAAATCTCTGGATTTCTGTCGTCTGCAGTAAAAACGTGGACATCAGATGACAATCTTGTCAATGACAAAAATGTTAATACAGTAGAGCAGGTACAACCAGAAGGGTGCTTTTGTTGGCCTCTTGTTCATCTGGTAAGTCTGTATGCCAAATGGCATCACCATTTTATTTAAAGTTAACAAAATTAAATTTACTGCTAATGATATCTTAACAAGGTAAAAACAGAAAAATGTTGACTATTGTGCACAGTTTCAAACGAACTAGGTTAAAATGTGAAATGTTTAACAATATACCAGAGACTAAAATTAAATGGAAAAATCCAAGCTGTGATCGCAAAGATTAAATCAATAACAGCTACATCAGATTCAACTTTTAAGCCTTTTAGTCATTTCTTCTTCTTATGGTATCCAGTCATCCATCATATTTTTGATGATAATTAAATGCTGTGTTATGATGACGGATACAGGCATACCTAGCAGCCCGACGCTGAACAATCACAAGTTTATTGCATTGTTCAGCAGTGTGAGGGTTCCAAACCGAGCAAGCGTACTTTAGTTTTGGACGGACAAGTGCTAGGTATGCCTGTGACTTAATGTTTGTGATGGATGATTTGAGGTTTCTTTTAAGAAAGCCTAGGCTTTTATTTGCAATTGCAATAATATTGTTTGCATGTTGAGCCCATTTTAAATCAGATTGAAGAGTAATGCCAAGATATTTTGCTGAAGAGACGGTTTCTAAGGTATGACTGTGAAGAATGCAATTATGTTTGATGGAAGTTTTCTTGTTTGAAGCAGTGAGAACTGTACATTTGTGACACATGATCATATAGCTTTTATGTTGGCTTTCCAGACATTTTATTTTCAGGTTTATCGAGGGAAGTACTTTGAGCGCATTGAATGAGCATTTGTTTGTAATTAGTACTACTGGAACGCATACCTGCATGTGGACTTTTCGATCCTAATATCGTCCACTCAGAAGTAATTTTTACTGAAAGTATATTTTGACCGTTTTTCATTGCTCCATTGTTCTTTTGGCGCTAAATGAAATCTTTTGTGAATGTCGTAAAATTTTTAGAATTGTGATTGTTTACCTGAGAGCAAACCATATGAGCTGCTAAGTGCATATCTCTCAGGAAAAAACCCTTAACTCTTGCAAACAATAATGTCTCTTTAGTACAGAAAAGCTGATCATATTTCTTTATGATATAAAATTGAAGTCTTGTGTTTTGAAGATTTACAGGATACGGTACCGATGGTTTGACAAGAAAAAGGACGAAAAATTTCAGAAAAGACAAAAATCTAACAATGTGGAGTACTGTTTACGTAAGGTCTAGAAATAAAGTGAAAAACTAAGGTATGTACACAAGTCAACGCTGTGTTGACCGGGACAAATTCAAACTCGATATTTTATTTATAAAAATTAGGATAATACAAGAATTACTTGCAGTACATTAATTTGCCAATTTGCATATTTTGGCAGTAAAAATATCCTTGAAATTATTCAGTTTATTTCCTTTTAAATTGAAAACTTGCAAGTGAATAATTCATCAGCGATGTTTCTTAGCTTATTTTGACAAAATTGAACCAAATTGGCTGCTAAAAGCGGATCATTATTTCACTATTTAACTTTCATTAATGATTGAACAAAAAAACTAATATTTTATTTTTTTCTCATATCTCTTAGCTAATGCCCCTTTAACGAGTAACATTTTGATACCTCTGTAAGAAAAAATGGATAATATATACGTAATGCCACAATATACGATATATTTTTGTATAATTATTTGGGAAATATTTGCCTTTTATATTCTTTGCCTTTTTTTTTCTTTCAGATATTAAAAGCAGAAAACAGGAAATTTGCTTTGCATGGAATCGTAATTAATAAATTTAACTGAAAACATCTCACAGTTCTCCTTATTAAGAAATCATCGCTGAAGACGAGCATCACAAATAACATTTGCTGTTTTGGTGAAATTCATAAATTTGTTTAACAAGCATCCGTTATATATAGAGTCATTCCTTTTTGCAAACGATTTTCGCAAAAGTGATATGCATGTCCCCCATTTTGGTAAAACATATGCTGGCAGTAATGGCGATACATTTTCGCCCCTTTACTGGAAAGCGGGTTTCAAAATCAATGGCTTTGATAAATTTATAGAAATGTCCAGAGGGATCATTTGAGATTCGTACTTCAATAAATGACTATATTTGAAATTCGATATTTGTAATTTTACAATTAATATCTAGATTTGAAATTCAATATAAAAAATAACCAAAGGAATGAAAACGTATGTCATTAAGGGCAATGAATTGTTTTAAAATTTAACTGGTACCACTGAAATGCTAGATATAAACTGGTGTAATACAAGCATTTAATTATAACTCTAATTTAAACGCAAATATCGTCTCAATATAATAATAGATAAGGTATATTTACACCCATTTTTACATCGCGATGACCGTGAGGGCATTCCGATGTATTGCTATCGCCTAGATTTCCATTACGTAACTTTCGTTTTGGGTTTGTAGCCGATCTATAAACATGATAAATACGCGGATATTAACGAGTGCAAAATAACATTCCTTATCGTTTGTTATAAATACATTTCTTCAATGAATACTGATAACAATATTTTTGTTTAGAACATAAAGTAATAATATGAAAATGTTTTGTCGTTAGATATATATATATATATAAGTAAAAATTCATTGATATGGTAAAGCATGCGGAAGAATATCTCAAGAACATTTTGCGACAATCCCGGCAAGGACCGGTAACTCTGCATGGAAGATTGTTTTTGCGGGAAAATATGAATGCCTACTCATATCCAATCTTTTAGAAAAATCGAAATTTTACAGAAGAGTGTCCACCATGCACTTGCACTGCACTCTTATTAGAATAGTAGAATTGAATGGTATACAAATGGATGAAAATTATATATACATGTAACTGTTATATAAAAATAATATATAACAACAAACCAGTGTATACTGATTTGTATCACTACAATATAATAGTTATTACGGTGAGGTTGAATTTCCTGTTATTTATTCATCATCCACGCACGAACTTGTCTCAGAAAAAAAATATCTCTGTACATTAACCTCAGTTTCAGGTATAGAGATGTGATTTTTTTCTGTGACAAGTACTTTTGACAATCCACAAGAACTTGCGGTCATCCGATGTTCAGTACTTCAGTACTTTGATGAAATATATGTATAAGTTGCAAACTCATACGAAACCAAACGTCAAAAAAGATGATTATAACGTTATTAAACTTATACATATGTGATTAACTGTTTTGTTTGCTAAAACGTCCAATTGCGAATATTTAGTATACTATTAATGATTACAAATATTACAAAGAATCTAATAAGTGACCGGGGAGTAAGATGAAAGTGGTAAAATTCTGACCACCACTAAAAAATGAGGACATGTTGGATAGGTTGGAAATTATGCCTTTCACCAGGTCTGTCATGGACCTCTCAAACAGTTGTTGCAAGGTCATTCATCTTGCAATGTGGTACTTTTCATACATCCTCGTTATGATCGAACTTAGCTGTGTATTTATAAATCACACATAGCCAATCGGATTCACATTGCGGAAAGAGGGGAGTTATACGTGAGAAGGCAGATAAACCGAACGATAAAAGAGGACCTCCTTGTAGGGGCGAAATCCACTCCGGAAGAAAGAAGATACCAATTCTGTCATTAAAATTCATCAATAGCAACATACTTGGTCGGTTGAGAACAAAAAATTACGACTATAGAGATGATTTCAGCTTCCCAATTGTGAACTTTCCATTTCTATGTAGCAACATTTCAGCAGCACATCACATGGAGTAAAACTATATTCTCACAGTTGACACGATATTCCTTAACTTGCATTTCCTATCACGAATTCCTTGATAGAAGATTGCTGCTTACAAGGAAGCTATAGAATCAAGAGATCCAATTGGTAAAGTTGAAATCATCCCTTCGAAAATGTTATGGTCGCCATCACGAGTTGTTTGACTGTTATGGAATATATGTTTTACAGATGACGACGGAGTCACATTGTTACCACAATTCCGTCCTCTTTTCATCGAATGTGACCTACCGAATAATACTTATCACCGGGTTTGTATTTACATGAACAACACGACGGGTGCCACATGTGGAGCAGGATCTGTTTACCCTTCCGAAGCACCTGATATCACCCCTGGTTTTTGGTGGGCTTCGTGTTGCTCAGTCTGAAGATTTCTATGTTGTGTTTTATATACTGTTGTTTGTCTTTTCGTCGTTTTTCGTTTTTTGAAATGGCATTGTCAGTTTGTTTTCAACTGATGAGTTTGAATATCCCTTTGGAAACTTTCGCCTCTCTTTTTTATTTTTTATTTTTTCTTTCATGTTAAATTTATGTATTGAGTTGATATGGAATCTAATGGTCATTTGTTTAAGAGGAAAATGTCCAAACCAGCTACTTTATAAATATGTTTGAAAGGAGATGTGGGGTAAAACAATCAATTGACAAAATATTTAAAACTTTATGAAAATAGTTAAAAAAGAAAGTCTGTCGTTCTATTAATTATTTTAACTTAACTAATTTTCTCACCTTTATAGCAGAAAAATTCATTAATGGTCACATGAAATAATTAATTTTCATAGATGGCCAGGTGTAACATAAACATGCAAGCCAGACATATCGTATCTCAGCAATGAATGGCTTTAAAACATGGTAAACTTAATAGAATTCACAGTAGATTCGAACTCGGACAGAAAATGAAAAAATATATATATAATATGATCATAGCATTTGATTAAAAAGTAAATTTCGTCATTCTTATCTTTAATTACAAGTCAATGAAGAAAGCAATACAATAGCTCATGTGCTTTTAACCAGTTTTTTTAAAATGCATTTCCATTAAAATATATTTTTACTTAAAATTCATGTGCACGCCCGGGCGTTTTGACGTAAACGTAGCTACGCGCCTGCTTTAGACTCGAATATTCCGATATTCACGAATAAACTTTGGATCGCTCATTTTATTGAAAGATCTATCAAAAAATTTAGGATACGAAAATAATTGATCGTCGACAAATTTGCAAGTAGTTTACCCTGATTTTCTATGTTTCAAAATTTTAAAAAATACATATAAGCCGTGTTAACTTACCACCCGGCAAATCCAATCAAAGTGAAAGTGGGGTAGTTGACATACTCTTCTACAAAGTAATGTCGAAGATTATTTTCACTTTTCATTCAAGTGCCATCAATTTAATTGAACGTGAGTTACTTTAGACTCCGTGTTGGGGAAACTGTATTTGCTTTAGAAAGGTTTATTTATGGCAGCAATGAGTTTGTTGAAAATTATTACTATCATAATGCTATAATGTTTTCTAGTTTTCTAAATTTTAAATAAACTTACTGGTTTACATGAATTATTTTGATTTCCAAATAACCACAAACAGAAGATAAATTGGTTGATTATGTCCAATGGCAAATTTGCATATCAGGACGAGAAAAAATTATGCGATATCTCATTACTAAGAAAGTTTTGCAAAAGTTAGTCGAACAAAATGGAGAGATGAAATTTGGACTGTTTTTAGGAATAAAAGTTTAATTGGTTAGTAGGAGAAATTTTGCCATGCAAATGCATATCCCTGTAAGGGTTTCTGTTAGCATTCTTAACGTGCACACATCGTGACACTATCCAAAAACGGGACATTGGATAACGTCCTTGATTTGTCCGAACATGGTATCTTATTTAAACATCCCTTACAGAAAAAATCGAACGCTCGATCCCATTCGGGAGAATTCCAAGTAACTATTTATTTTCTATAAACCAGTTACCTTCGGTGTTGAATAATGTAGAAGAAACAAGCAAAAGAAAACAAAAACACCAAAGGGCTTGCCTTTTGACATTGTTATAATATCAATACGCATGTAGAAAAAAAAAAAACCCGCTAACGGTACATGTTATGTAATAACAGGTACCAATTAAAAAGTTTTCTGCGCCCTGGGTGATACTCCCTCCCAGCCCCCCCCCCCCCCCCCCCCCAAAAAAAAAACATGGTCCTTTGCCGAAAGACCATATTAGAGATTTGACCCATTGCTCACCAAGTATCTTTACATAGTGGAAATTAACAAAGCCTAAGTAGCATTAAGTAGCATTGGTTGGATAATCAGATTTTTTAAATTGTTTTCATATATTTTTGTTTTATTTCTTCATCAAATGTTAAAGTACGAATTTTTGGCCCAACTGGTATCAATATTGCTTACATTTGCATGATATTGACTCCACGAACCAATAAGTATAACATCTTGTCATATATTTTGGTCCTATTGCTCATTTGTTCAAGTTTTAGGTTTAAGCGTTTCTGACGAAGGTAAATCAAGAAAAACGCTTCGGTCGCACCAAATTTTGAGTGTTTCCCAGCATTGTTTTTATACAGATTAGACAGATTTTCAATGACAGTTTTTATGAATGAAAGGAGATTCTGAGAATTCAACGAGACAGCAACCCAAAGACACAAATAACAAAAGACTATAGACAGGAATACGATATGTAAACTCTTTTCTTCCGCAGTAAATATCCACCTTTGGGATAAAATTAAGTAAAGTTTTGACCAATATATGATATTTGCACAACTGCTTTTAAAGCTTATTTAAGAATTGAATGCTTCTTTTTGTAAATTCATTGGGGGTATAAAAGCGTTGACCGAATTACATTTTGTATGAAGCGCGGAAGCGCTTCATTCTAAAAATGTACGCACGGTCAACGCTTTTACAACCCTATGAAATTACTAAAAGAAGCATTTAATACTTATAATTACATGTTTTCGCTATGATCAGGAAAACACGATTACTCTCATTTTTTTCTTTTATTTACCTGTGCACTTTATTGTGGAAACGTGTGTCATCATGAATGTTACAATTCATGAAATTCATTTTGAAATGAAGAATGACGCAAGATTGCTGTTAGCCAATCAAAATAACGTATAATAATGAAACATACATCTAATGTAATTATTAAGCATTGAAAAAAAAACACGTCCATTGAAATCAGAACCTTCCCTGAAAACCTGCGCAAAATCCAACAGGGAAATGCAAAAGGTGTAGGAAAGAAAGATTGTCCCGTTTATCACAATTTTAGTATAAAGATTGACAAGAAGGCACAGCAATATCAAGGTATAAAACAAAGTTCTACATTAAAAGTAATCTTGACGGTATACACAAGAGTGGACACAATGAAATTCACCGCCTGCTTTATTGATTATGATTGCATATCAGGTTGAAAGTCTTTAAGGTGAAGGTCTTACTACATAAATAGCAGAAACTTAAAAACTATCCATGACTTTTAATGAAAAATGGTCAAGGTCAGATGAACCTTGTCAGACGGAAATGTCTGGTAATAATTTTATACACCAAATATGGTCATCTTATCATCATTTCATCTTATTAATTTGACTGTTTTTACAAATACAGATCATTTTTTGTTTGATTCAATTTTTTTCAACTTCGCCGTATAAAGGTAGATAATCAAAGTCAACTTTTATAAAGTAATGTACAGTAAATTTTTCTATTTTGATTTGTACCAATAAAGTGAAATGATTATTTCATTATCAATAAATGGAGAATGTGTCCCCATGGACACAGATGATGCCCCCGCCTGCATACAACATTATAAAGGGACATAACTCAAGAACAATAAAAGTGACGCTACCCAAATTTGTACTTGATCTGAGTTTTGTGGTAATAAGTATTGTGTAAAGGTTTCATAATGTTTGGTTGGGGCAAACTTAAGTTACAGAACGGAAACTAAAAATTTTGCAATTTTTCGATTTATAAAGGGGCATAACTCGATAGTGATTAAATTGGCACCACCAAAATTCAACTTAATCTGTGTTTTGTGGTAACAAGCATTGTGTATAAGTTTCATAACATTTGGTTGAGGCAACTTAAGTTAGAGAACGGAAACTAAAAATTTTGCATTTTTTTCCATTTATAAAGGGGCATAACTCGAGAATGGTTAAAGTGACCCCACCAAAATTCAAACTTAATCTTTATTTTGTGGTAATAAGCATTGTGTATAAGTTTCATAACATTATGTTGAGGCAAACTTAAGTTAGAGAACGGAAACGAAAAATTTTGCAATTTTTCCATTTATAAAGGGGCATAACTCTAGAACAGTTAGAGTGACGCTACCAAAATTCAAACTTGATCTGTATTTTGTGGTAATAAACATTGTGTTTAAGTTTCATAATATTTGGTTGAGACAAACTTAAGTTAAAGAACAGAAACTAAAAATTTTGCAATTTTTCCATTTGAAAAGGGGCATAACTCTAGAATGGTTAAAGTGACGCCACTAAAATTGATCTCTGTTTTGTGGTAATAAGCATTGTGTATAAGTTTCATAACATTTGGTTGAGGCAAACTTAAGTTAGAGAAAGGAAACTAAAAATTTTGTAATTTTTCCTTTGGTAAAGGGCATAAGTCTAGAACAGTTAGAGTGATGCTACCAAAATTCAAACTTGATCTGTATTTTGTGGTAATAAGCATTGTGTATAAGTTTCATAACATTTGGTTGAGGCGAACTCAAGTTAGAGAACGGAAACCAATTTTGGGATGTATGGACGTACGTCGTACAGACGGACAAGGGTAAAACTTGATGTCCCCTCCGCTACGGCGCGGGCATAAAAAGTTCATGCATTTTTTTAAAGAAAGAGTCAAACGATTTTGATCAGCTTTCTCTCCTCCAAACCAAGCTTTGCAGTAAGAGAATAGGAAAATGCTGAGGATTTGACTATATTCTTGCATGTTAATTATAGATGGTGGATGATACGGTAATTTGATCAATGTCTATTTTGCCTCTAAAAACTGCTACTCTGATCTTATTTTCCCTCTTGATTTTCTGATTTTTACTTTTGGAGATGTGTGTTACACTTTCTTTCAGTTAAAATAGAGTTATCCACATCAGTGAGTAATGAAAAAGAATGGCTCAGAGATGTCAGTTCTGCACTAAAGTTAAACATTGCTTGAACAGCATAGTTAGGAATTGATTGTGTCTGCTAGTTCTTACTGCTATATTCTTGAAAAAGATATTTTTGTTGGTTTTGAGTTTTCCTGTAGGATTATTTAGTTCCCATACTAGTCACTGTGGTATACATCTAGTTTAAATGTGCAATATTAAGGCATACATGACCTTACTGTAACAGAAACAATAAAATGCTGAACCAGTGATATAGATATCCTGGGTTTAAATTAAAACAGCAATCTGATGTGCATGTGATATACTGAATGCACATTTACAGGAGATGGTGTCATTTCTTGTGTACTTGTTAACCTTTTTCGAGGAAACTCAACATTTAACAAGAAACAACAGTGCACACACTGTAAAATCTGGCCTGCTTTACTAATAATTTGACTTAAATTTAAATTCTTCAAGATAAATATCACACAAACTTGACATTGACTAATGATCCATGAAAATGAGTTCAAGGTCATAGGAACTTGCCAATCAGACATGTACACCTTAAAATCATTCCATACACCACAAAAAATTGACCTATTGCTATTGTATCTGAGAAAAGGACCTAACCATGAAAGTTTAGCACTGACCAATGGACCATGAAAATTAGGTCAAGGTTCAATGAACATGTACACCTTACAATCATTCCATACACCAAATATAGTTGACCTATTCCTTATGGTATCTAAGTCAGGTGAACCCTGTTTGTCAGACATGAAGACCTTGCAAGGATTCCATTTACATGATATAGTCATCCTATTACTTATAATTAGTGAGAAATTCAAGTGATTAAAAAATAAAATATTTTTTAAAGCAGTCACTGTACCATGAAAATGAGGTCAAGGACAATGGACATATGAAAGACAAAAATTCAGAACATAAGGCATCTGTTTAACAAGACCAATACTAGGTCTGGAGCTGCGTCTCTGCATACAATTGATTAATGTAAAATGTATACTGGAGCATAACTGATCATTCTCTTTCATTGAAGCCAAAATAACATTGACGAAAATTTTCCTTGTACAATGAGTGTTGTAAAATTTCAAAATATCAGCATACAGGAAGAGGCTGCACAGCAGATGTAAAAATTGCTTACTCATTACAACTGAACATAATTAAGGTGGAGAAAACAAATAAAATCCTTCTCTTCAATAGGAGCCAACAAATTTTGCTTGTACAATGAGTGTTGTTAAATTTCAAATTATCAGCAAACAGGAAATAGCTGGTGGGTGGATATAAAAATTACTACGCTTCTACTAAACATTATCAAGCTGGAGACCAAATATAAAATCATACCCTTTCATAGAAGCCATGAAAACTTTGACAATAGTTTTCTACCCAAAGTCTTTCTTACTGTGAGCTGGTATAGTCTTTCTCTTGACCACAGTTATTGTTCTTTAGTTTTCTCTGCCTCCATATATAGTTCCCCTTATTTTGAGTATATTTCTTCCCATTTTTTTCTTTCACTTTTCTTGGTATGCACATAGCTGAAGGGAATTGAAACTTTAGTGAAAATATTTGTGGAATGAATGATAAGACCAAGAACAAAAAGGTCAATTATGTCATATTGAAATGTTTCTGGTCTTTTATGTGACATTCTAATTTATTATACTTCACGTTAAAATGCCATATTTTGATTGGCTAATACGAGGGTGTTAATTTACTCTATTACCCTTCATGGAGACGCTTGATCAAGTGTGCGCTTTATTAAATACAGATGGTTGTTATGTACAAGACTTCATAGTTTATTATTTTGAATTTGAAATTTATTCGACAATAATAACAGAACATTCAGTATAATAAATTAAATAACACATATCTGAGAGGGTGATAGAGCAGATTGTTATCCGTTGAAAAGACATTGTCAACCTTGGCTTCGCGGCAGTTGACAATGTTTTCTCTGGGTAACAATCTGCTCTATCACCCTCTCAGCTGTGTGTTATTTATATATTGACGTTCTTCTTTCGCTTAGGAAACAAAGCCAAGTTCTAATTCCAATAAAACATGGGCTGATTGACGTAACAATTAAAATGTATTTAGAACAATGCAGGTGATCAAAATGGACATTTGTGTTGGTGTTGCTTGCTAGGAAATTAAATAAAACATTCTTAAAGTAAGTTTACATGTATTTGTTCATTTTTTTTATTGTGAAACAGTTGATTTTTCTATAACGTTTTGGCTTCATAAAATCAAAATGGCTGCCTTTGGAACGTGTGTTATAGGTCCACTTTGAAGTACAAAAGTTCTAAATTTTCCTATTAGAATCGGAATTATTCTTTTATGCCATGCTCTATGCTCATTTTAACATGGGTAGGCATTATATTTATCAACATTTTACACCTCGCTAAAGATATTGACAAATATAATGCCTACCCATGTTAAAATGAGCACAGATAATTGCATGAAAGAATTATTTCTTAAAAATAGGTTTCAAGTGTTTCTAAAATGAGCTGCATCAGTTGAATTTTTCTATAAGTTGGATATATGTTAGGATTAAAACTATGTTTAACAGACAAAATATTCTGAAGAAACCAATGGTGTTATTTTTCTTCATAAGACAAAATGCTTTAAAGAACAATAAATTGATATTAATTGTAGTCTCTGCTGTCAGTTGAGAGTTATTTATGCTAATGCAACAGCATCCCAAATATCAATGGTGCATCATAAATGCTTGACATGAAAAGGACAATACCTATATACCTCAGTAGATATCAACTATGACGAACAGTACGACCTATGACCTCTTCTGAAATATCCATTACAGTCAACAAAAAATCCAGTTAAAATAAACTGATGTAAAGTTTTATCATTCTAAAAAAGTATGAAAAATACAACAGCAAGTTATATATTATTTTAATGACAAAACTCAAAATGCAGACAACAAATAATGTTAATACACAACAAATTGTAATGATTTTTAACACTCTAAAAAATTCAATATAGTTATTGTATACACAACCATTTACCTTCAGAAACAAAACAAAATCAAACTTTAAAACACATTTAGACAAATAAATAGTTTTCTGGCTTTCAGACAATTGAAAGAGAGGAAAAGATACAATTATGTGCCAAATTTGTAGAGCAGACAACTCATATTTGTTTTCATTAGTAAACTCTTTTTGATAAATTCAGATAATGTCTTGTGCTGTTCTCATTAACTGTTAAAGATATAAAATTAGTAAATGACTAAATTAAAGAGCTATGTTTTTAAAACATTGCTGCAAACTTGCTGCAAAGGTATGCTGAACAAATGTTTATCAAAAAGAGACTGTAAATGCTGCAATTTTGAGTCCTTTTTGGGTCTTTGTTCAGAAATGTGTTGGACAACAATCCAAAAACCAACACTAGCCTTCTTTTCTGCCCAGAAAATGACACTAAGGATTTTGCAATAATAGTTTAAATTACAATGACAAATATTATCTACAAGCAGATGAGTTTGATTGCCCCTGATGCCACATGCAATATGACTGCATAAATTTCCAGTGCGGCTATTCAAAGTTACTTTTAAAAGCTTCAACGCCATAAGATATCATGGAGTATGGTTTCCTATCTGAAATGTATCAGTTAAAACAAATACAATCTACACCCATATAAATACAGCAATAATAATACAGTGTACCTGTATTGTTTGATAGAAATTAAATAATGAAGAATTACATAGTTTCAAAATTTTACAGCACTTTTCCCCCCCTCCTATTAAAAAAATGATCTGTGCTAGTTCTATTGGTAGGCTTTAAACTAAAAACATATTAAAATCATCAAATTATGTTTATACATAGATTAACTGAGCTAAGATTTAAAGAAAAACACAGAAAACAAGTTCATACAAAATTCTTACTATTCAACTTACCTGTACATAAAATGATGTTGTAAAAAGCTCAGATCATTTAGGGAAGTCCAAACCAAGTCATTGAAAACAAAATGGAAATCTTATAAAATGTTCGAATGCCCATGATGTGAGTAAATTATACAAGTAACACATTAGACTGATAATGAAACTATCTCACAGAAAAAAAGGATAATTTCAATCACTGTACATAAAGGGTTGTTGATGAAATATAAAATGATGTATAAAATATCACAGTTTAGTTTTCCTCCTCATATAATTCTTGTTTCTCTGTACAGTAACTGGTATGTATATAGTCAAACTATAAAACATTCAACACAATGATTTTCTGTAACCATCCATCACAATCATCGTCAATACAATTGAAGATTCTATCAACTTCCTATCAAACCTACTGCTAGATTTGGTTGGAAAAAAAAACAATTGAAGAAATTGGACATACTAGCTTTACATTTTCATTCTAGATTCACAACATTTAGTTCATCTCTCATTTCTTTTTTTTTATATATGGCACTTCTAACACATTGAGAAAAAAAAAATCACAACCTTTAAAGCATACAATTTACACAAGTGATAGATACACCACATTATCATGGTTAAATAGGATAGATTTGAATAATTTAGGAGGGGGTTTTTCAGCAATTTTTCCATCTTTTCTTGTGGAAGTATTGAGCATAAATTGGGTTTGTGTCACCATATGTAATTTTGAAAAAAGACATTAAGTAAAAGGCTTATAATCACAGAATAAAGTTTAACCTTCAATTTTAGTGAAGACTGTCCAGTTAGTTCATTATTTTGTTTATTAAATAAGTTGGTACATTTCATCAACATAACACTAAGCGACGTTACCAGCCAGTTATACAACACAGTTTTGAAAGAAGATTTTCTACGGAGACCAAGTAATGGCACAGGCTAACCTTTGGCTAGTTGAGGTAGAAAGAAGAGTGGATTAAAATCAGTGAGATTCAGGAAAAAAACCAGATCATTTACAATCCTATATTGGAATGTTTTGAAAATGATGAAAAACATGACAACTTATATTCAATAACAGAACACTAGAAATAAACATACAAAAAAAGTGCAAATAAAATGGATTTCAATTTTAAAACTAAATACAGTTTTAGTTTGCATATATAATGGTCAAAATAAGCCAAATTCAATGCAGATCACAAAAACATAAACTGATAAACGTCCAGAAATTTGAGACAGATCATGACTTGTTGCCCTCAATGATGTGAGCTGAAAATCCTTTTATTGTGGATACACTACGCCTTGACAAACATACCAGATTCTCTGTATCTTGATCAGCGTAAACATACCAAACTCTTCCTATCTAAGGAGGAATTAGATCAGTAATTTGAAGATTACAATGTGTATACTCTGGCCTCAATGAGACTGTATATGTTGATGTTTGTCTAGGTTTTAAACACAATCAGTCCCATCTATGTAATGTCAATAGATGGTGCTCAGTTTTAAGGGCTAAGAATTATCACCTTTATATTTCTAATAGAAATATCCATATAAGCAATAACAAGTCTTAGCAAATGTGAATAACTTTCAATAGCTTGGATTTTTGATAGTTCCCAAAGATATCTTGAAGCTTCACAATGCACATAGATAATTTTATGAGATTTTGAAATATTCTTGGGCAGTGGTCCATTGCTCCATAGGGAATCTGCTACCTAGCACCATTCTTTGGTCTCCTTCCTTTGCCTTTTCTTTTTCTGAAACGAAAACAGAAAGCGAATGAAAGTATGCAAATAAAATTTTAAACTAGATTGCTTGCAAGGTCATAAGTTACACATTTTCATAAAGTTAAGATAAAAAAATTCTGTAATAAGTATTCTTTCTACATTCCAAAGAGACTTCTTCATATATTATCTGAAGTAGTAATTAGCAAAAAACAATCTTTGCATATTTTTTCAACAAAGAGTCAGACATGAAATTATTGTCAGTCTATGTTTGATTGATGATATACCTGAAGGAGTCTCCACCTGACAGGTATAACAGCTGTTTTGTTACCTGCCCAGGTACATTATTTACCTATGGATTACCTCCCACTTATAACGGCTCCATGCAGTGATTAAAGAACTTGGTGAGGATTACCTAAGATTACAAAGTATTTTCACTCTTCTGTTTTGTTTGTCGTGTTAAAATAAAATATATCACATTCACTTTTGTTGGTCAACGTAAGACAGTTGTGAAGCTTAAGGGACAAATTAAACCACTATAGTATACCACAGTCGATCTTTTTCAATAGTAATTGAATGAATCTTGAGTTAAATTTAAATTTAAATGATTTTGATGACTTAATAATATGGTTATTATCATGACAAAGTAAATAAATTTGATCAATTTATCATACCTTGTACAATAAATAACAGGAGTTTGAATTTGATTGGAATTATCCACAGATACAATTAAATTGGTTTCCTAGGTCAACAAATATTCTGACCACAAGCAAATCTCTTGAAGAAATAGTGTTTCCGTTTCTGATTAGGGAATAGCTTGGTATTGTGATTGAAAACATTCGGTATATATATATATTGAAGATGCACAAACAGAATATTACCTTTCTTTGTAAATAATGAAGTCTGTTGATTTTCAAGCTGCTTCTCCTACAAAAAAATAGTGTAATGTTAAGAAAAACTTATTTAAAAGAATATGACACAGTTATTAAAACTCCAACCATTCACTCAACAACCCTTCTTTATTCACCATGATGTTTTCAGTAGCAGCTAGAAACACGAAAAGTGGGCTTTTTATAAAAACAAAATACTAATACCGATTTTTTTTCTTTTCTGGGCTAATCCATAAAAGGCTGTAGCTAATAAACACTTTCATACAAAAATGAAAAATTTCAAAATAGATTATCCTATACATATCAATTGCATAATACATTTAGAGGGATACTTTTATCCCAAAACAACATGAGAGTAATAGAAGGCATATATTGTTCACTGTTAAACAGAGACTTAGTAAAGGCAGTAACATGTAAAAGGACAAATACAATAACCTATTAACCTTATGCATATATTGAGGCCCATCCTATTTTTTCGCATCATTTTGCATCTATTTGGCATAAAGGTTCCTGCATTTTTTTCTCTTATTTTGACCGATTGAAAATACCTATTTCAGTATAAGTTAATATCAATACATATGGACACAAGCTGCCACTGAAGATAATCTGTATTCATTGGCTAAACTAAGAATGTATTTATTTGCATATCTTCCTAACCCATTTTCTGGTTAATTGTTACAAACTATTTCAATTATAAACAAACACCAATAGATATTTATTTCAAAGCAAACTTGGATTATTTGTGCAACTGATTGAAAATATCTAACAATAATTAGACTAAGAGAATGTTATATGAATTTTCCTATTTGCTTAGCCCCCTACCAACAATTTTTCCAGACACTGTCACACCAATATTTACATTCAGCTTCTGAAAAATCCAATAACTTCAAACATTTGGACAGTGTTCTGTCTTTGGTTTTACTTCAATTAAATTTAACTGTCATAAAACAAGTCTAATTCTGATTGCACTTAGTATAATTTGTATGTCAATAAAATTCCATTCATAAATAAAAGTTTTATTTTCAAAATGCTTTAATGTTCAATCACAAGATCAAATCACTTTGTAAACAAACAGTTTATGAAACTTCTGCATTTTTTTCTTTGAAGCCATAGTTATTTCACATGTTTTGTTAAGTTCTCAACATACTGTATTGCATACCCTAAAAAAAATTAAAGAAAAAAGAAAGAAAAGAAAACCCAAACAGATACCACATCTCATTATTTTTTTATCAAACAACTATTACCATATAATTTGAATATTTAGATATCTTTTAATTTTTTTTATTGAAAATCGAAACATATATATCAAGCAACTACTATCATCTATGAATGTGAATTTCAAGATATCTTTTGAAAAATATTGTTCAATAGAATTTTACTTGTTTAACCATGCAAATTAGAATAGTCTGGGGATGTAGAGCTTTTAAGTAGCGTTATAAGTGGCACTTGAAACTGATTACTGGTTTTATGTTTGGCAGTACGTTCCTCAAGTTGACACCTATCAAATTCTAATTCCAAAATAATTCTAAAATATCATACATAATAATAAAGGTTTGTTTTTACTAGTAATACTTGAAAAAAGTAATAATTACTTTACTATTACAATAAAAGAGAGCTGGATGAATTACTTAAAAGACCTCACAGTACTGTGGTATTCTATAAAACAATATTATATTAATCAGGAATGACTAATTAAACCAAACTGTATTGTTAATTAAAAATTGCGAGGTTTGCTTTCCCACATGAAGTATTAGTCAGTTTTACTGTAACTATTTTTTTGTTTATCTTATTGCACACATTTTTTTTAAAGTTTCATTTGAACTTCTATATTCATAGTTATTAGAAACAAACAATAAAAGCTTTATTGTACAGTTTTCAGCTTTTGGAATTTAATGGTACTTAAATGTTTGCAAATTACATGCATTTATAAATTGATGAATTTAAACCTTATGGCAAGGCCTTTAATGCAGTATTTCTGTAGAAATGTTTAAGACAGTACTCATGAAGAAATAATCTGTTGAAATATGAAGACAAATATCAATAAAACAAAATTTGACTTATGTAGCTATGTGAAAATGTCATTTAATAAACAAATAATTAAATTTCTGGATCAACAATGGCTATACTGAAACAATTTAACTATTAAATAATATTTAAATCTTATTCATAAAATATTTGTTCCATTTATGGATAGAATGTCATATTAGTAAACAACAATGTTCCCAGCATCTATAAAATTGACCACAAAAATCAATCTTTCAATAATGAAATAAAATTTCTCAAATCAATGCATCACTTAACTGGATTGAAAATTAAAATAAACCACCTGTCCATTCACCCCTATTGAGTTGGTCAACAAAGGAGAGGATACCAACCCCAAGAGCCTATTTGTCTCATTAAACAATACCTATTATCAGTCTACCTGAGCTACAGAGAAAATCTATAACCCAAAGTACTAGGATGATAGAATATTGTCTAAAGACAATGGCAATTTGTATGAGCAAGGTGCCGAACGAGTGCCGTTTCTTTTTCACACTTAATGACATGGTAGAGGGCTGGATATTCAGGAAGCAGGACTATTATCTCCCTTTCCTGAAGGGATGCTGAAATCATCAATATATTGATGACAGGAAGTTGACAAAAGATAAGTAAACATGTCAGTGGGAACACACTGTACACAAACAAGTCTTTCAATCTTAATTGTATATGTGGCGGCTCATGTGATGTTACTGTCCAAGTTATTAAAATGTCAATCCTTAATTTCAAAATGTAATTTACTTTCAACTTCAAACTGAGAATCAAATGTCCAAATCATTGAAATAAAGATAAAAGAACAACAGACATACCTGTGTCTGACAAATAGCTCATAGTATGGGGTAAATCTAGACCAAAGAAGCTCTTCTGACTTTTTAATTGAGAAAGGTTTAACTAATATTGAACCTAACTTATACCGGAGGAACCTGTTTTTTTCAATCTAATCTTTCAGCAACAATATACCAAATATTTCTGAGTGAAGATAAGATTTTTTCAATTCAAACAATATAGCTTGCATGAAAGATGTCTAAGGCTTCTGACTCTCCAAATCAATTAACCTTGGTTCTGGTCATTAACCCAACAATCATCTTTTTAATTTTGATTATTATTTTAATTATGTCAAGCAGAAAAGTCAAATATATCCTTAATCCCTGTGAAAATGATACCACTGATGTTTGTGGCTATGAATTTTTCCTTCATAATTACTGACTGCATGCTGCTGGACTCATAAATTGACTGTAATTATAAGAAATAACTGAAATTTCTTCAGTCATTTAATTTACTTAATTATTTCTATAATTATACTGGCAATCAAGAAAATAATAGTGTGGTTAAGAAAAGTGACAAAAATTTAACCTAAAGATCTTCAAAAGACCCTAATGACGCTCCAACTGCAACATCATTTAAAATCCCAGCATGCATTTCACCAGGAGCAAAATACAAAAAAAACAAAAAAACACGGTTACTCTTTCATCGAAATTTTTAGCATTTTACGACATGTGTCTGAAAACACCAGACATTTTTTATCATTATAATATGAGAAAAATGCATGTCTCCATTATGTTTTAATCTGCCAAAGACATTGATATCAGTAGCCATACAAAGAGCCATCAAGTATAATGCTGCATCAATCAGTGGGGGTTAATAATCTTCCCTGCCAAAACTTGTGGCATGGACAAGTCGCATGATTAAAGTAAATCAGAGGGTTTTTTCCATTCATAATTTTTCTTTTCAAATGAGGAGACTTATAAAAATAGCAACTCAATTATGGAAATTCTCTTATATTTTCTTATTCTAAAGTTTCTTCAGACTATGAGTATGATTCTTGGGTATTCCCAAGTCTGAAGTTCTTCTTTCTACTCAACATAACAATCACCTTCATCGAGGAAAAAAAATTGTCTTAATGTATGATTATGGAAAATTCATACCTCTATAAAATTAGATAACAGCACACAACTAAGTTCTTGTTCTAGGATTTCTCTGTTGGATTGGTTGTTATAGCAACATGCTATCAACGTTGGAAACAGGATTGTAGTCAGCCGAGGATCACTGAAGTAATGGAATGGGAGGGAACACATTTGTTGTAAGATCGTTGGGGACTGGCCCGACTGTATCACAACCTGAAATAAAGAACAAAATCATGAGGAAAAGCATAACTGTTAGAAGATAATAGGATGACAACCTTAAATGTAAAACAAAATTGTTTTCAACAGTTTTTAAAAAAATAAATTTTCTTCAACAGGAATCTTTAAATACTTCTCACTACCTTAAAAATGCATCCTGAAAGAATATTCAGTATTGATCATCAATAACCATGTCTGGTCTTGTTTGATTAAGTTTTGCATTATCAAAACAAGTTTGTCATCTTAATATTCAAGCTTGATATTCCAGTCATATATGTGATACATCTTTTAGGAGCAGAAGGGTCATTAAAAGTATTGTCTCAGGTTTCAAGCAGTGCTTATCATACAGAGGGAACTTATATTTTTGCATTGCACAAGCTCGTTTTTTTCTCTGACTGTTAATGACATCTTTTCACTAAATCCATAGGATGTTGGATGTGTACTGATTGATATTTTAGTCTTAGATACATGATTTCTTTTATCAGTTTGTTATTTGCTTTGAACTAGCTGTCAGTAACTGCGAGTACTCTCAGATCTGTACTTTGTGTCTTTTTTGTTGTTTAACAATCTTTTAAAACACCCTGCCACATCTGATCTGTGTTTTGTTAGATGTTTTTCTGCTTTGTATTGATCTGATGAGTTAAGCCCTTTTCAACTGATTTTTATAGTTTGTTCTTATGTTGTGCTGTTACACCACTGTCCCCGATTAGGGGGAGGGTTGAGCGCTCACAAACATGTTAAACCCCGCACATTCTTTATGTGCTTGTCCCAAGTCAGGAGCCTGTAGTTAAGTGGTTGTTGTTGGTTCATGTCTGTCATATTTGTTTTTCGTAAATTGTTTTGTTATGAATTAGGCCAATAGTTTTCTCAATTGAATTGTTTCATATTTTTCATGTCAGGTCCTTTTATAGCAGACTATAAGGTATGGGTTTTTTCTCATTGTTGAAGGCCGTAGGGTTGCCTATAATTGCTTACATCCACTTCATTTGAACTTTTGTTGATAGTTTCATTGGTAATCATACCACATCTCCTTATTTTCATATTTTAAAATTGTAAACATAACATTGAAACTTATTTAGTGACCTTGAAATTTATGCTAAGATTCCAACCAACATCAAGCAGCACTCTAAATATTAAGTGCACATGATTTAAAATGGATGATTTGTAATGTAAAGTTTAAAAGTCAAGGTCACAATCATATCTGTGACCTTGACCATTAAGTTTGAGATTTAAGCATTATTCAGTATATATCTTCTGAAGGGCCCATAATATCAACTCCAAAGGCAATATATTGCTGCCTCAATTCATAAAATGCCAATGAAGATGTCATACTGACAATTATACTACAACAATTTTCACCCACCCATAAAGCAAATTATATGTCATTTTGTAGAGTAGTACTTCCTCAATAAACCCTCCATGGATACTGTCATAGATGATTATTTGTGTAAGAGTTACATAAGAAGATCAGTATATATATCAATGTCAGTTGTGGTAGATTGTTGAGTGCTATGTACTTGAAATATCTACAGTTTAAGCATCTGCACCATGTTGGTCTATCCATCAATTCATCAACAAAGTGACAGCATATTGCAATTTAAAATTTTTTTTAATTCAAAATATCTTATGAAGATTGAAAATATGTTGTCACAACAAAACAAAGAAGGGAAATGAGAAAGTACTGAATTTTCTTACAACATATATTGGTTTGTGGTCAGATATAATGAGTCTGTAGTGGTAAATGTTCAAAATATTTTACAGAAGCACCATGGGCACATAAGCTTTAAGGATTTGTAGAACAAAAAAGATTTTAAAGTCAGGTACAATGTATAATAAACTGTTGGAAACAAAACAAACAAAAAATGTTCAAATTTCATTCTATTAATTGCCTTTGAAAACTTTGACCTAGTGACCTTAAAATCAAAAAGGGTATTTTTTCCCAAGATCTATCCCCCCTCCCAAAAAAAAAAAATAAAAAAAAATAGACAAAGTGATGCCCCCGCACTCCACTCTGAAGTAACTGTATTAAAACAAAGTCAATGTTGGACTTTCTTTGAGATATTAAATGAGACACAAATGATGCCCCCGCAGATGCAAAGTGTTATTTTAAAATACACAAAGTTGAGCATGGGAGCACATAGGTCTATGGTTCACTGTAGGAGTTATCCGGAAACGCTATGCACCTCTTGTGCAAGTAAATACTCCAAAAAATAACAAAGTTCAACTATCTCCCAAAAGAGCAAATATTAATAAAAAAAAAAACCCTGACAACATGCACACCTTCAATATATGTACAAACAGCCAGCAAAGTGAAAACTTCCTAGCATTCAAACTGTAGGAGGAGTTATCTGGAATAACGATATACCCATAATGGGACGTCGGACAGAAGGATGGAAAGACGGAAGGACGGACAGGGATAAAACAATATGCCCCCAAACTTTTAATTGCGGGGGCATAAAAATCTGTCTGTGTTAATCAAGGAGAGAACAAGAATGTGTCCATAGTACACGGATGCCCCACTCGCACTATCATTTTCTATGTTCAGTGGACCATGAAATTGGGGTCAAAAATCTAATTTGGCATTAAAATTAGAAAGATCATATCATAGGGAACATGTGTACTAAGTTTCAAGTTGATTGGACTTCAACTTCTTCAAAAACTACCTTGACCAAAAACTTTAACCTGAAGCGGGACAGACGGACGGAAGGACAAACAGATGGATGGACGAACGGATGCACAGACCGAAAAACATAATGCCCATAAATGGGGCATAAAAAAAAGATATAATGGTAGTAGTAGTCGTTTACACCAGCCACCTACACAACAGTAATACATGTACTTATGTTTTACCTTTTTGTTACAGGAAACAGGAAAAACTTTTCAGATATTCAGTGATATTTTTTTTTCTGATTTCATATAAACTGAGTCATCCAACAGAAAAACCGCAATGCTCAATTAAAAGCTAAATAATTAAAATATGTTGCAATAGCTTGAAAACCTACTAAATTTTCATTTATACAGTAAAATATTTATGAGCAATGTGGTTTTACTTTAAACTATGTAATATAGCAAACTATTCTGATATTGGGGGAGCGTCCACAAATTAATACCTTATAAAGTTTAGGTGCCATCTTACTTTCATGTAGACAGAATCAAACTATAAATAATTTGGTGAAAATATTTATAATGAAGTAATAAAATAACTTGAAAGAAATACAAATAATCGAATTATTACAGATAATCATAAATTGTAATTTGTGAACAGTCTAAGCTACCTTTAGAATATCTCATGTAAACATCAAATGAACTACTAATTTGATATACTCATTAAGACAATTTCAAAATCAAGGTTACATAATGAACGTAGAAAAAATAGACAAAACAAACAATTTCAATATACCATCTCGGTGGGTTTTCTACCTGCATCCAAAATAATATCACACAAAACGTTAAATGAGGAAATTGACTTAACAAGAAACTTCTGATATACCACATGATTTGACAGTTTGAATCTATGATGAATTGCAGGGGGAGGTAACCCTTGATTTGCTCATTGTTGGAGGTCAATAAACAGCAGATTTGCTCACAGTCATAACATTATGTAAAGTTATGATATTCTCATCTACTGCTGGGCTTTCTATAGAGATATATGCACCAACTCAGTATCAAATCGTACTTATCGTGGATCAAAACAGATTTATGTAGAATCTGGATTTGTTTATCTCGGCAGTCAAGTCATTATGCACAATGATTTCTCTACATAAACTATATGATAGGATATGTCATAATTAAAAACAGTGGCATAGACTATCACTGCTAAGTTTTATTTTCACAAACATTTTATTTTTGACGTTTTATGATATTTTTTACTATTTTAACTGTCATATTTTATCTTGCTGGCAAACTTCATGACAATTTTTCTCATTAAAATGATGTTATAAAATATTTTGGTAAAAAAATTCAAAATTCATAACATTTGTATGAGTATTTTTTTAAATATAATAGCAACTTGTCTGTTTTCATTTCTTTTAAAGAAAAACAGAATTTTCTTTTCAAGTGAAAGTCGTCAGTTTTAAAGTGTTACATCAAAGATACTTTATGACTTGTTACAGCAATATTCCTTCAAATAAAACTTATTAACATTTGCCTATTTTATTTTTTCATCCAGTTTTTATCAGGTAAAAGGGAGACAACCAAACTCTTGTCATTTAATCTTTATAGATAAAAATTTGATTGCCAATAGCCAAAATAAAAAACTAAGTATCAAATTCCATGGTTTTATGATTAAAAAATACCACAAAGAGTCTATAGGGAATTACAGATTTGTATCACATAACAAAAACATTAGGCTGATATTTACTATGACAAAGGATAATATCTGAAACCGGAACCTACTGGAGTCGAAAAATAATTTACATTGATGGAAATGAAAATTTTAAAAACAGATTTTATAACCCATTCTCTTACTTTAAGAAACAAAAACGTCCATTTAAAGCTCCTAAGTACTCTACAGTGCCATTTAAATCTCTTAAGTATGCCTCAGTGTCTATTTCATATTTGACAAACAGAAAATAAATCATTTGGCAAAAGAAGGTTATTCATTGCAATCAGAAGTTAATCCTGCCTCGAAAGGTACATTTGTAATTTAACATCACACATTTAAATGTCAGAAAAGGACCATTCAAATCTAGCGGGAGTTTGGAGTTTGTCAATCTGAGAAAAGCCATCAGAAGATTAGTGCTTAAAACTTGATTAAATACTTGTCCTCATAACCTTTCCAAAATAATCCTTGTGTCTCTCATAACATATTGTTCCATTAATGGATTAGGTAGTTTTATTTGGTGATAAAGCAGAATTCAAAAATAACATGCTTAACTAACTAGGGGCTCCTAGGAGCCTAAATTGATCACTTGGTCAAACTATTGATATTCATTGCCTCGGTGGCAAGGAAAACAGGTATTGTGATTTACCCTTTAAATAAATACCTATGTTTCATGCATCTGACTAGTACAACAATAGGTGTTTTCGAGACCTTGTGAATGAGGTTACATAAAAACAAATCAAGAATGTGTAGAAAAATATATAGCTCCTTGAATTTCTACTTTATACACATTAACATGATTAACCAAAGCAACTTTTTTCAGTTTTTGTGTACAGAAAAAAAATACAATGCACTACATTGACATATCTTTTTATACTGAAAGTTTACCTAGAACTAATAATAAAATGCTCCGCTGGGGCGCAGCTTGATACGACCGCAGAGGTCGAACCCTGAACAGTTGGGGCAAGTATGGACACAACATTCAAGCTTGATACAGCACTGAATTTGGATTGTAATTAAATATTTGACACAGCATAGGTTTCTGACACAGAATGAATGTGGTCTAAGAACTTAAAAAAATTTAATTTACCTATTCAAACCTTATCATTATTATTTGCTTTTATATATAAATCAGAAATAACCAATTTAAAATGAAAAATTTTAAAGAAAAAAAAGAAAAAAAAAAATCCCCCCCCCCCAATTTTTTGAACCCCCTTATGATTTATCACCCCAAACTCAATCCCAGCCTTAACTTTGTGGTATGGTACCTTGCAGTACAATTTCAGAGAGATCCATACACTTGAACACAAGTTATTGTCTGGAAACTAGAAAAATGCTTGTTTTTTGGTCCCTTTTTGACCCCAAATTCCTAAACGTTTAGGGCAATAACCCCCAAACTCAAACCCAGCTTTCCCTTTGTGATATGGAACCTTGCTGTACAATTTCATAAAGATCCATACACTTACACACAAGTTATTGTCCTGAAACTAGAAAAATGCTTGTTTTTTTGCCCTTTTATGGCCCCTAATTCCTAAAATTTTGGGGGAATTACCCCCAAAATCAATCCCAGCCTTCCCTTTGTGGTATAGTACCTTGCAGTACAATTTCAGAGAGATCCATACACTTGAACACAAGTTATTGTCTGGAAACTAGAAAAATGCTTATTTTTGGCCCCTTATTCCTAAAAGTTTTGGGCAATTACCCCCAAACTCAATTCCAGCTTTCCCTTTGTGATATGGAACCTTGTAGTACAATTTCATAAAGATCCATACACTTGAACACAAGTTATTGTCATGAAACTAGAAAAATGCTTGTTTTTTGCCCCTTTTTTGGCCCCTTATTCCTAAAATTTGGAGGCAATTACCCCCAAAATCAATCCCAGCATTCCCTTTGTGATATGGAACCTTGTGGTACAATGTCAGAGAGATCCATACTCTTACACACAAGTTATTGTCATGAAACTAGAAAAATGCTTGTTTTTTGCCCCTTTTTGGACCCTAATTCCTAAAATTTGGAGGCAATTACCCCCAAAAACAATCCAAGCATTCCCTTTGTGATATGGAACCTTGTGGTACAATGTCAGAGAGATCCATACACTAACACGCAAGTTATGTCTGGAAGTTACAAAAATGCTTATTTTTGGCCCCTTTTTCCTTAACTGTTGGTACCATAACCCCCAAAATCAATCCCCATCTTCCTTTTGTGGTATTGAACCTTATGGTAAAATTTCATAGAGATCCATTAACTTAAACTAAAGTTAGAGTGCAAAAACCAATGTGTCTTCGGACGACGACGCCAACGTCATACCAATATACGACCTCAAAATTTTTTTGTGGTCGTATAAAAATGAAAGGATTACCTGATTATCTGGATTAAGAACCGTAAAATATCCCACACATACTATGACTTCATGTAACAGTTCTTCACACTGATGGTGTACACAGTACCACATGGAATAACTTGCTATATGTCTGAACTCTAAGGAAGATCCTTCTTCTCCCAAAGTTTTCTGCAAAAAGTAATAATCTAAGAATGACTGTTTTTCTTTTCAATCTACTACTTTTGAAACATAATGCCATTCAAATAAAATGTTTAAATAGGAAAAGTAGCAAGAGTAAAGACACCTATCTGCCAGATAATTCACAAAAGCACTAGCTGTGTGCTTTGATCTAGTTGCAAGATGGCTTTTCTCATTTTATACCCTGACCCCTTTTCCATGTCCTTCATGTTTTTTTGTGATTTTAATATAGACTTTCTTTTGTAAGGAGTTACTCTAGCTGAAAAAAAGTTAAAGACAGAAACTTTCTGATGTTCAGTGTTACCAGTATTTCTCAATAATAAAAGTAAGAACAGAACATCAATTGTATACTGAATGGTGGATTTAATTCCAAATTTACTTGTATAAAAATGACTGTTAATAAAGGCATAGTAAAGACAGGCAAATATTATAAATTCAGAAATTTTCTAGTGCATTTATTATAGTGATTTTTGGAGAATGTACATAAACCCAAGATTAACTATTGCGAATTCATTAATATCGGCATACAAATAATGCTATAAATAATTAATGTGTGAGTTTTTATATTTGTAATACCAATTCCGTCACAATTCTTGCAATAATAAAAACAATGCAAAAATTTTACAGTATATAGAATTAGCACATCTTCTACATTAGTACCATATGTAAAATTGGTAACTTTTTCTTACCTGTAACATATCCAGATTAAGGACTGCCATATAATTTAACATCTTAAGTCCTGTGATAGTGATTTGTAATGTAGCTGGAGGAAGTTCTGGAGGGGGTGTGTCACTTCTACTAGGGGTCCCTGAATGGAGCAGCATACCATACAACAAAGACACAATTCCTACAAGTTCTGTTACTTCAAATGTATTTATCAGCGTTGTGGGGTCTTCTTGTTTCTTCTTTTCAAATATTGCATTATTTCTGAAAAAGCAAATAAAATAATATTCTTGTAACCACCTTGAGGGTTTCATGCTTAATATGTGTAAACTCGTGGCTTTCAATTCCAATTCGTCAATCAAAAGACTGCAAGATTGGCATTTGTATCAATAATACATATATGCAGCATTTGGTTGTAAAAAGAACTGGTCAGCTTAAAGTCAGAATACTAATTCCACCTGGCTTTAAATGTTTGTCTGGTGCAATGGAGGATTCACAATAATTTCCCATATCATGAAAAAGGTTGAAATTATACCTGTTAGAAGATAGGCATACATCCATCCAAACATTTTAACAACATGCAACATTGAATTAAGCATGGTACAACCCATGAACATCCCTTTTGAACAAGTTTATAGTAAGAACTACCGGTACACACAATCTATTGGCATTTGTTTGAGGTTTTACTAAAGAGGAGACCATTATCTATGTAATTTATATGTTACTCCCTCCTATTCACCTTTAAGACATTTAAATATAATATTTGTCTTTGAGCATTTCTGACCAAGGTAAATCCAGAAAAGCTCTTCAGATGCATAAAATCAAGCCAAGATCAGTATACCCAGATTACCCATTGTATCCGAGTTACTTATACTGGGAAAACAGACTTTCAACAGAAATTTATGTCAGCAACCCAAGAACTCAAAACATTATACAAATAGAGGTCAAAAAACAATCTTCAAAAATACACAATTATCTATACAATATGTCATGCTGTTACTCTGTTAATGCCCCTCAAAGTTGAGTTCTGAAAATTAGTGAATAAATTTAACAAAGACCATCAAGGATCTGCCAATAACATCAATTTCACTAAACAACACAACTATTATTAAAGAAAAAAAAATGAAAATAACACTTTATAAATATGTTTTGGAACCTAATATTTAAATAATTTCTTAATCTATCAACAGAGAATTTCTAAAGAAAGTTATGTTAGAAATCTTGTCAGTTCCAAAGGACTGATGATACCCTCCATGACTAGCAGTCCACCAGCAGCTGAATCAACCCATGATGATAAAAAAGACAAACACTGATGAGGTTCATGCCTAAGACATTCACTGTAGAATTTTGTAAACTTAAGTCAAATTTACAGAAAGTCAGTGTAAAATTAGCGTATCAACTTTAAAAATGACGAAAATATGTTTAATATATAAATTAGAAGATGTGGTATGACTCTCCACCAGAGACCAAATGACATAGAAGTTAACAACTATACGTCACCGTACCATCTTACAATTCACAACAAAATATATAGAAGAATGATTTAAATGAAAGTTCTAAAACCTTCAATTTAAAACAGTTTGTTCCTCCGAAAGACTGACCATGAAAGCAATATGCTTGAGAAAAACAAATCTTACATTCCACCAAAAAAAGTGGCTGAATAAAATATGTATGCATACTTTGGCAAATATTCTGCAGTTAAAATAGCATCATTAACTTTTTACAAGGACACATATTGAAGTATTCACAGTTTTTTTCTTGATGAAATTCCATTGAAATGATTAGTAACCTGAAGGTGGTAGTGATCTATGATGATTAACCCATATTTCTTAAGAATTTTTTCTATTTTACACACCAACAATTTATAACTGTCTTCAGTTTATGCTCATCATGATCAACTTAATAGGCCTACAAAAATCAGACATTAAATTTTCAACAGCTTAATTACTTGCATGTGGCAGTATCAAATGGCCGAGATTCATATTTATACCTGGTAGTTCATCAATTATGTAGTAAAAACAATTAAGTCGCTGATGTGTGATTAATGGTAGAAATGTTTTATCTCTTTAATCCCTGCTGATCAGGTCACATAATGCCCAGGTAACAGTTCCATCATCTAGGTAAACTTGAAACCATATAAATCAATTCAAACATTGGACCAATATTTCCAGTTGGTGATTATTGACCAAACAAATAAAAGAAATGATGGTGTCATGCTAATTATGAGATAATGATGCATGTTATCAGTGTAAATGACTTGAGGGACAGACTATTGCTGGGACTACCACATGACAAATATACAGATGGCCACAGTTAGAGCTTGACAGGTGATAGGAGGTGTATGACCCTTATGTTTACAAATAGACCTTTATACTACAAAATAAAGCAGGTGTAATGGACACTAATTATTATGGTTTTTAAAGAAACAAAATCAAAAGACAATCTATAGTACTGTCAGAATAATGAGTTAATAGTACAATACTGTATTTCTTAAATTATCCGCAACATACAAGATATACAATTTCTCAAATAAGGCAGAAAAAATTGAAAAACCAAGATTCAGCTATATAAAAATATGGATATGTTGTATGACTTCCAATGAGACAACTTAAACCACCAGAGTTCAAATAACGAAAATAAAAGCCATTATACTTTTTTTTATAGGTCAATGTTCTGCCTTCAACAATGAGAAAAACCCATACCTTATAGTCAGCTATCAAAGTTGCATACATAAAAATTTGTAAGGGTTACTTTTTCTGTTAATCGCAGGCTCAACAAAAATGAGGAGGTAAATCAATAAAAATATTCCTCTTGATACTATCTTTTGATTGAAAGAAGCTTCTGTCCAAGTTTGGTAAAAATCCAGGATAGTTTATGAATCTAATAAATGTTTAAAAACTTTAACTGCAGACTGAATGTAATGTTAACTGGAAGAAAACAAAATTTCCTTCTAGATACTAGCATTTGATCATAAACAAGCTTCTGTCCAAGTTTGGTACAAATCCAAAATAGTATAAGAAAGTTATTAAAATTTTAAAAACTTTAACCACAGAGTGAATGTAATATTTCTTGGCAGAAAAACTAAGTCCATTTATAAGTAAAATACGGAAAAAATGGAATTTTATTTTTCAAAATTTACTTCTGGATACTATCTTATGATCATAAACAAGCTTCTGTCCAAGTTTGGTAGAAATCCAGGATAGTTTAAGAAAGTTATTAAAATTTCAAAACTTTAACCACAGAGTGAATATTTGTGGACGCCGCCGACGCTGACGGAATGTAGGATCGCTATGTCTCGCTTTTTCGACTAAAGTCGAAGGCTCGACAAAAATGTGAAACATTTCAAACAAGAATTAGACAATTAGCAGTGTAACAAGAAATAAATCCAGAATGCTTGGTTCCAGAAGTCAAAGTATCAATACAGCAATTTTAGACCAATCTAAAAAAAAAATTATGATTCAATTCCACCATCTGGCCATGACGTTAAAATATTTAAGAATCAAAACTGACTGGTCTAGATGTTTTGCAATCAAAAAAGCATGCAATTGCAAAAAAACCCTGACAGGTTAAAAGTCTCATTTAATTGTGTGTATAAATAAATATTTGAAAATTCTACCTTTTTTTCAGAAAAGTCCCCATAACTTATACTGTTAACTGACAAATTAATCCATGAAAAAAGTAATGGAAGAGAAATTTTAAACTGCCTTTTTTCTAAACCTTAAATGCAAAATGAATAGTTAATTGTAGAAAACCACCTGATCTATCTGTCTTTAGCACAAAGGTTAATGGAAATCTTCTGGATTCAGAAGTCGTGGAACATAAAACTATATAATTCTACCATAAAGCTATTTTTGTGGGGAATGATGATACAACATTGATGCAAATGAAGTAATTAAAGATTGAATAAATCTGTAGTTTTCAATCTTTTGCTTTTACATTAACCATTTTAAGCCAATAATTATACTCATTTCATCAAATAAAGATAACAATGAATATTACATGTTCAAAAATCCTCTTATATTCAACCACGATAAAATACATTTCAGCTGGATTATTTAAACAGATTTAAAACAGTATTATAACCTAAAGAATAACTCTCAACAATTATTAAGCTATTAAAGAGTTGGACATTTAATCAAAGGAAATCATTTTGCATCTGATGCTTAACAAAACAAACCCTGAGAACAAACCCTACCATTTTCTATAATTAGAAATACAAAATTTGATGTGAAATGTTTTAATGAACATGACCAAAACTTTTTATGTCAAAGTGATACAAATATTATGAAATTAGCTTTACTGTCCTCATCAAGGAAAATGAAGGAAAACTAAAATATAACTGTTCAATATTTCCTTCATGTTACAGCAATATAAAAGATTTTGCAGTCAATGTTATACCCACAAATTAAATGATATAACAATATTAAATCCGAAAGCTGTAAATAATTTATATAACTGTATTATATGTCTGTCTGCAGAACCAGATATTAAACTCTGTCTAATAACAGACACACAATGTTATTATATTTCTAGATCTTCCCATATCCCGTCATTTTCCAAAATAACCAAATCATATTTAATCATAAATGTATTTATCAAAATGGCATCCTATACTTAAATCTCGGCAATGAATCAATGAAATTTCTTTTCTGATAATCTAATGAACATAGAAATGATAGGCTAGTGTTCCATTAAGTAACACTCGGAGGAAAATATTCTCTTTAATAAGTTAATAAGCTCCCGTTTGTAAGACTTAGCCAGATTTGTGGCTGTCGTTTCAAATATGGATTATAAACGCAAACAAACACTTCTTATTGACAGCTACTAAATTAGGGTCTTTGTCGATCACCATCCTGAACATAATTTGATAAAAGTATTTTCAATCCACAAAATTACCCAAATGAAAAGTACATTAATTCTATAATAAACTGAAGAAACTTCTCTATCATTTTCAAAAATACAACATGGAATGCAGTTAAATTAAATGATAAAATAATTGTGGTTATTTTTTGGACAACATGGTACTGCACTCTCTGCTCTACTTATTCCATGATTGAATTACAGTGTTTCTGATACGAACAAAAATATTCAATAACAGATAACCAGCCACACTTTTTCCTAACATGCCTATGATTTAAAATGCTGTATATTCATACATCCCATCGCGCCGAAACAGGTGTCCGACTGTCTAAAAGAAGTTTCGGTCAATATATACATATGTATCTTTAACTAGGAGAGGGGTCATTTTCGCTACTTTAATATTTCATAAAATAAATATTTTGCTTCATACACATCTGCCTTTTTACCTGGTACCCTTCAAAACCTCAACTTTAAACTTCTACCCTAGAAAAAACTTAACCTTTTAAACTACTACCCTAGAAAAGCCCAACCATATAAAACAATACCCTTTTCCTACACACAGTGACACTGTGACAATGACATGATTATATCATTTTTCATTTCCTACATTGTGTAATTTTTAAAATAAGATAAAAGAATGCTTGCATAATGTCAATTTGGAAAGCCATTAAAGAACAACTTTAAACTACTACCCTAGAAAAATCTGACCTTTTACAGGTCAACATATAAAATGTTACCCTTTTCTTATAAATTATGACAATGAAATGATTATATCATTTTTTTGGGATTGTATAATATTCAAAATAAGATAACAGAGTGCTTGCATAATGTGAATTCCATATCAATTGCCATAAAACTTCTTATCTTGGGGAATATTTTACCCATATGTTGACCATATCGATCCTTATAATCATAATAACATAAAAAGTAGAAAATGGAAGAATCAAAAATTCCCAGTTGACACATAATCAGCTGATCCAAAACTATCTGTACTCTAATGGGTCACACTGCTCCATGGATAATTACAGGCTGATTGTTACAGTCAAAACATTATATTACTATCCTGTCACCTTTGGGACTGTCACCAGCAGACAGGCAAAGCTGGCAATGTACTACTTTTAGATTTTATAACTGATATTAACACATTTACAGACATTAGTCTGCACATATTGGCTTTGATATTATAATGATGAAATATGGGATGGAATGGTAAAATTTTAAAAACCTTTAGCTTTCTTTATTTCCAAGAATGTCCTGCCAAGACTATTATATTGGATAGTCTGAACTAGACTGGACAGTATATCTAGGTGAATTTATATGGTGTAGTCAACTTTATATATGTACTGCATATACTTTATCATTAATTTTTCTTGCAAATATTAAATAGTGCCTTCCATTAGAGTCAATTTCATTTAAGTTAATGTAAAGGTCTATCAATGTTGCAAATAACATGGACATTGAACAAAAATATGTATGGTCTAAAACTACCCTAGTATTATTGAAGAGATTTGTCAATCAAATGGAGAAAACCTCTTTAGTAGATTCCACATTCAGCCGCCATTAATTATGTAACAAGTTTCATTGTGTTACTTCCAGTCTTGAAGAGCCTATGACATGGAGCACATAGTCAGTCTACAGTGCATATATTCTTTGCAAAAAATGATTCAATTAAATTCATACATTCTTGAAACTGGTACATGTCTATTACAAGTAACAGTGTTTTGCAATTATCAAACCATTGATTCTTTACCTTCATAGTGTGAGGACATCATTTTGTAATAGTATGATGACTTTTGTTTGTACGAGGTTAAGCACTGGATACCTCATAGAGACTAAGATTATTTCAAGGTGACTAAGTCACTTCTTTTTTTTAATTTATCAATGTATTGTTATATATTGTAATTTGGAGAGGACTACATAAGTATGATTTTCCTGCTTTCAACCAATTTTACTTTGAGTAAATAAAAATATGTTTAAACTTTTAACTAAACTATTCTGTTATAAATCTATCCTTAACTACAGAACAAAAATTTGTAAGGGTTCCGTGGAACCCAGTGTCTCGCCTACTTTTGCTGTTAGTCGCAGGCTCAACAAAAATGTGGAAAATATTATTAAAAATTTTTCCTCTAGATACTATCTTTTGATTGTAAGAAGTTCTGTTCAAGTTTGGTAAAAATCCAAGAAGGTTTATGAATCTAATAAATGTTTTAAAAACTTTAACTGCAGACTGTACGTAATGTTAACTGGAATAAAACTAAGTCCATCTATAAGTAATATAAGGAAAAACAGGAAATAAATTTTTACAAAATTTCCTTCTAGATACTAGCTTTTGATCATAAAGAAGCTTCTGTCCAAGTGTGATACAAATCCAGGATAGTTTAAGAAAGTTATTAAAAATTTGAAAGCTTTAACCACAGAGTGAATGTAATGTTAACTGGCAGAAAAACTAAGTCCATTTATAAGTGAAATACGGATAAACAGGATTTTTTTTTTTAAACAAAGTTTACTTTTGAATACTATCTTATGATCACAAACAAGCTTCTGTCCAAGTGTGGTACAAATCCAGGATAGTTTAAGAAAGTTATTAAAATTTCAAAAACTTTAACCTCAGAGTGAATGTAATGTTAACTGGCAGAAAAACTAAGTCCATTTATGAGTAAAATACAGAAAAACAGGATTTTTTTTTTTTTACAAAATTTTCTACTGGATACTATCTTATGATCATAAACAAGCTTCTGTCCAAGTTTGGTTGAAATGCAGGATAGTTTAAGAAAGTTATTAAAATTTCAAAAACTTTAACCACAGGGTGAATATTTGTGGACGCCGCCAACGACAACGCCAATGGAATGTAGGATCGCTATGTCTCACTTTTGCGACAAAAACTGTACAAATGGTTTATGATGATAAAGAGTCAGTTACTTTTAGAGCTAGATGTACAAAAATTCCTTAGTCATTAGCTTACCTTTTAGACATGAACTTTGTAACAGCTACTAACAGCCCCAGTCCATGTTGGAGGAATTCTGCAGCATCTTTATCATCATGCAGAGGTCCTTGGACACTTCTAAAATACTGTGTCAACTTATCCACAATTCCAACACTGATCATGTAACTGAAATAGAAGGCAAAATAAATATATTTCTGGATGGTTCGATGGTGCAATCGGATATGGACAACTGTACAAAGAGATAAAAGGAAGAGTAGTTATTCCTAACCCTCTGTAACTGATAGAGTTGCGTAAAGTGATTTATAAAAAAATATTTTAAACTGGGACTTTTACGAAATGCTATGAATGAGACCCTGAAACTGATAAGGTTTAAACCGAAAACTTTTAATACTATAAAAGAAGAAAATAATTGACTTTGAAATACATTTATTTGAGTATTAAACACTACTGTTGAGCAAGACTTCATAAAATGTTTTTGAGAGATGACTAGAATACTCAGAGGAACTAAAAACATGATCTTTTAAGTTTTATTCAGAAATCCTTTGGATGTGCCCTTAACACTGTTTACAGGAATTTACCAGGAACATTTTGAATGGGATTGTGCAATTGATAGTAATACTGTCAATTCAGAAATTATTGCGAGGTTTTTATTAATGCAAATAATGCGACTGGGTGAATATTGCAATAATAAGAACTCGCATTTTGATATCAGACACATATATATGCATGAAGCTTTTCCTGAAATCGCAATAATTAATCTCACATTTTTGTTCAGTCTTCAAAAATCGCAATTATAAATGCACACAATAATTTCTGAATTTACAGTACCTGAATTTTCATTTAGAACACTATTTCAAGGGTTTTTTTTTTTTAAGCAGAAATGTATTTTTACTGTGAATTGAAATAGGTTATTTATAAAAGATGTAAAATTTGTATGAATAATTTGTTATTTTGCAATAATGAAAAATTTTACGCAAGATCAGTCAAATAATAATGAAGTATGATTTCCTTATACATTAAAATTTAAAATTCCAGTGGGAATAATTATTTTTGAATTAAAATCTACCAGAGCAAGCTGATGTATAAATAATACTGAAACATTCAAGGACATGTAAATTGGAGGTAACATCAATATTCAATGACAGTGGTAATTTCCTATTCCCCAGACATACTATACACTGGCACACACGAAAAACTTCCTTATGAAATCAAATACCTCCCAAACTGCAAAACATTAAACTATTAAGTAGAAAATTTACGGAAATTGATGCTGGCCTTTCACAAATGAATGTTTTTGTATGAGTTTTATGGATATGGGTATGTGCCAATTCAGCATGTGGCCATGTCAAATCAAATTACACCAATACTACTGTAAAACAGTAAATGATGGATTTTTTATTTCCTGATTTTTTTCCCCACTTCATACAGACAAATGATGCAGTAGATAAACTGGTGATTGGTAACCATCATGACTGAAGACAGGGGACAAACACTTCCTGTGTTCAGTCTGTATCACTGTAATGGATAAACACATCTCAATCTAACCCACTTCTATCATTTCAATACAAACACTGTAGTTACATCAAGCCATTTTTATCTGTATGGTGTAACAAAATGTTGTCTTCTTTTTTTTAATTTTCAACCATAACTGAAAAGTTTATGATATGTAAAATAGTCAAAAAGTTTACAAAGACAATCTTTCACCATGTTATAGAACAGACTTAGATGCTATTGATATTGAAAATCTTAAAAAGTGAAACTTTAATTTGCAACAAGCACTTTTAGATGTGTGAATAAAAGTGTAAACATGTTGTGATTTAATCAGTCTTCCATTCTACAACCAGGGATGATGATTTCTATCTAGATCAATATAAAGATAATGAGCTTCTTATTACTGAAAGAAAATAAAACTTTGTAAAGTAATTAAACTTGTCCTATCATGCAATGTCACACTTTTATTAATCTATGCATCACCTATTCTTTATTATAACATCAGTTATTTGGTCCTGTTATTCTTAATTACATCTCAGAGAGAGAGAGAGAGAAAGAGAGAGAGAGAGAGAGAGAGTTTCATACATTACCACTGTGTATACATGCAGTATAATATTAGTATAATTTACTTTATATACAACAGTGCATACAGGTTTTACTACATCACAGAGAACCTAACAGCAGAAAAGTTTACTTTAAAATCGAACATAATGTCAAAGAACATCAAGTTCAAAACTGTATATTTGTTTTGGAAATCAGGAAAATCTGACAGATTGTCATAATCCCTTTATCTTCATTCATCAAATGCACCATAGGAAGAAATCTGGCAGAATTATATCATACATAAAACAATAACTCAAGATATCTGTGAAACTAAATACACAAACTTACAAAAACACAACACAATCCTATTATCTACAAAACCATATCTGCCACTAAAGGAGTATAATCCCTTTATTTAACTGTTTGTAAGCAGCTTTGTGGATAATTCTATAGATCAACAATGTCATAGAGCCCTGGGGGTAAAGTTTCACCCCAGGATAATTTGAGACAGCAGTCAGAGATCGGATAATCAGCTATAAAACTACAATTGATGACACTGATAATTGTTACATTATCAATCATAAATGACTTTTCATTAACTTGGCATACTGTCCAATAATCTGTTGAAATGCCATTGTTTTCCAATTTCTCTGCATTTTTCCCATCATTCAATACAGCATAACATATTTGTTTATGCATTTAAATGTGTTACAAAGATCATTCTTATCCATACAATACATTGTTAAATCATCATTACTGTACAAGTAAATTGAGGAAAAATCAAATCTTTTCATTCTTTTGTTCATGCAGTAATAAAAACCTATGATATGGTCATCATAGGGATTAAGTGTGCATGGCACAGGTCTCTGAAATTATTTTCACCAAGGTCTTTCTAAAGCAGAACTTTGTAAACAAAAATACACAATACTTTTGAGAGCTTTGGAACCAAATAAAAGGCTTTACAGCCAGAGGGCACAATAGCCTCTTTCTCATTACTGTCATATGACCTTTCGGGGTAATGAAATGTGTTTATCTCAATACTGGCTTCCGACAGAAAAATGCTACAATCATGAAAAAACTATGATCATCTTTTATGTGACTATGGTAAAATTAAAATTTAAAAAGATATTGGTCTATCATCCTACCATTTTAAATCTACTTTATCAATTTAAAAAAAAATAATTTCATTAAGAAACAGGTGGGAGATACAAAACATACAATAAAACACCAAGGAATTTAGGTTATTAAAAAAGTTGAATATGGATAATGTTAATGAGGCCCTTGTGGAATACTAACACACCAAAGCTTTACAGTGAAGGCGGCATTAGTATCTCCATTCACAACTGTAATTATCAAAATGTAAAAGTACATTTCCCGAAATTTTCTATTACATAAAGATTTTTTTGTGTCGCAGTAACTTTCCCTCAAACTGCAACATGACAGCTGCATGCAATAAATGTATTATTTTTCAAATATTCAAATTTTGCAAATTTATTGTAATTCAATAGATACGTTTATCTGGTTTACTGATTTTCATTGAAATAATAACATGTCAAGCCATTCAATTTTTTTTCTGGTTCTCGTTAAATATGTATAATAATATCAAGCCAAACATGAAGACATAAAAACCGGAAGATTACATCATAATTTTTTTGTACAGTTATCTTGTCGTTTTATGATTTATACTGTAATTATATAGATATCATCTTAATTTTCATAATGAAATGGACTGCAAGACAAAATCATATCAAGTTTGAGCCAGCCTACTAAGACATTTATTGTCAGTACTGAATGAAATTTAGTTTAATTGGCTGTGTTAACTTAAACTACTCAGTTCTTTACAACTAGAACTCCCATCAACATACAAATATATATGAATAAGACGAGATGTTGGAGAAAAGTCAAAGATACAGAAACCCAACAACACAAATGAACCAGAATACTGAGAATAGACAAGTTGGGTCATCATATGTCTTCAACTATGGACAAGTGCCTACAGTATGTCAAACATGGTCTGAATTATCCTAACTGTCTGGGTGGTGTCAGACAAGGTCTGAATTATCCTAACTGTCTGGGTGGTGTCAGACAAGGTCTGAATTATCCTAACTGTCTGGGTGGTGTCAGACAAGGTCTGAATTATACTAACTGTCTGAGTGGTGTCAGACAAGGTCTGAATTATCCTAACTGTCTAGGTGGTGTCAGACAAGGTCTGAATTATCCTAACTGTCTGGGTGGTGTCAGACAAGATCTGAATTATCCTAACTGTCTGGGTGGTGTCAGACATGGTCTGAATTATCCTAACTGTCTGGGTGGTGTCAGACATGGTCTGAATTATCCTAACTGTCTGGGTGGTGTCAGACAAGGTCTGAATTATCTTAACTGTCTGGGTGGTATCATGGTAGCCATGAGTCTGACAGGTCATGGGTTGTGATTATCAGCCCAGTTAAACTGAAGACTTAAACATTGGTATTTTTTGCATCTCCACTAAACAAGCAGCATTTAGGAGTAAGAGCAAAGACTGGTAGGCTTGGTGTTATAATAATGTGTTCACCAAGCCTACCAGACTTTGCTCTTACTCCTATCAATCTGCTGACTAAAAATAAAGTCATTCTATTAAGTATTACTTGAGAAAAGGGTGACAAACAAATTTTAAGTTCATTCAAGATAATAAACAAAAATGAAAAAAATGATAAAAAATTTGTCATTTAGGGGCAATAACTCATAAAAGGGGGTTGACCCACGATTTCAGTCACTTGTATTATTTGTAGATCTTGTTTTGGTGAACATTTTGCAATAAAAGTTTCTCTCTATCTATTATAGTTTTCAAGAAAATAAGTAAACATTATCCACTCTGTACAGTAAAATTTTTACTTTTTAAAACTCCCCACAAGCCTCTTGTTTTAAATTTAAAGGTCTTGAGTGGAGAAACATTGTATTACTCTCTTTGCAGTGGTAGAATTTATATACATCATGGCAAGTCAGATGTTTATATAGACATTCTATTGAAATAAACTTATTGTATTATGTTTCCAAATTTTATTGATCATATAAAATTTACCAGTCTTCTTATAAATTGTGTACATTGCATCCTTTTGGTCTTTTTTTACCAAAAATCTAAGGATTTAAATTGA